CAGAAAATACAGATTCAAAATGCTCACTCTCATCCCTTTTGCGTATGATTCACCAGAACGACTGGTTCACCTCAATCGACCTGAGGGACGCATACTTTCATATTCCCGTGTACCCTCCACACAGGAAATTTCTGAGGTTTGCCTTTCAGGGAGTGTGTTACGAATACACCGTGCTCCCATTTGGCCTCTCGCTGAGCCCGAGGGTGTTTGTCAGGTGTACGGAGGCGGCGATCGCCCGTCTGAGAGGGATGGGCATTCGGCTGGCCACGGATTTAGATGACTGGCTCCTGCTGGCATGGTCCAGAGAGGAGGGAACGTCAAACACGCTGGTTGTGATCCATCACTTGCGTGGTCTGGGTTTCAGATAAACTGGCAGAAAAGCACTTTACTCCCCTCCCAGAAAATAACCTTTCTAGGTCTGACTCTGGACTCAGGGGCGTTCACGGCCCGTCTCTCGGCACCACGCGTGAACGCGCTCTCGCTCTGCCTGGCGCGCTTCCGCCTACACAGTTCGGTGCAGTTTGCGTTATGCCTCAGGCTTTTGGGTCTCATGGCGTCGGCTATTTCAGTGGTACCACTCGGCCGTCTAAACATGAGAGATTTTCAACGCTGGGTGGCTTCTCTGGGACTCTCTCCAGTGCGCCACAGAGCACGCAGAGTGACAGTCTCTGCAGCGTGCGTCGCGGTGCTCCGCTGTTTGCGTCACCCCTCCCTCTCTGCACAGGGGGTGCCTTTGGGGTTGGTTCTCGTGAGGAAAGTGGCCACGACAGATGTGAGCCTGTCAGGTTGGGGGGTGGGGGGTGGGGGGGCTCCTGGAGGGTCGCTCTGTCAGGGGTGTGTGGAGCAGAGAGCTCTGGGGGACACATATAAATTATCTGGAACTCCTTGCGGTCTTTCTGGCCCTGAGGCGCTTCCTGCCTTTTCTCTCCAGCCATCATGTCCTAGTGAGAACAGACAACACCACGACTGTGGCTTATATAAACTGCCGGGGGGCTGCGCTCCATGGGGTTACACACGCTGGCACTCAGACTGATCCTATGGTGCAGCAGGCATCTCCTCTCAATCACAGCCACCCACGTCCCGGGTGTTCTGAATCGGGGGGCGGATCTGTTGTCCAGAGGGACACCCCTTTACAGGGATTGGAGCCTGCATCCAGCAGTGTTGGAACAGATTTGGATCCGGTTCGGCACAGCCGTAGTGGATCTCTTTGCCTCTAAGGAGAATGCTCAGTGCCCACTGTTTTTCTCCCTGCGCGACCGAGACGCTCCACTCGGCGTGGACGCGCTGGTGCACGACTGGCCACGGAGATAGCTGATACCACCCACCTTGCTGAGGGTACGAACCCAGCGCCACACTCTCATTCTGGTGGCCCCATACTGGCCAGCCATGCATTGGGTGGCAGACATTTTCCAGCTTCTGGAGGGCCAACCTGGGAAACTGCTGCTTCGCAGGGACCTGGTGTCCCAAGCGGGAGGCTCAATCTTCCACCCTCATCCAGAACGGCTGGCCCTGTGGGCCTGGCCCCTGATGGGTGCGGGCTAGGGTCAGCAGAGCTGCCCCAGGCAGCCATTCGAACCATTCAGAATGCTAGGGCCCCCTCCACTAGGTCCCTATATGACTGTAAATGGAGGGTGTTTGAAGCCTGGTGTCAGGGCAGGGAGGTCTCACCCTTCCAGTGCCCTGTGAACGTCATTCTGTCTTTCCTGCAAGACTTGTTGCATGGGAAGAAGGCTTTCTCCACCATTAAAGTGTACCTAGCAGCCATTTCCGCCGACACTTGGGTTTTGGGAAGAAATTGGCAGGTCAACACCCCCTGGTGTGTAGCTTCATGAGGGGCGTGCGCAGGCTTCTCACTGTGTCTCGACCCCTGGTGCCCTCATGGGATCTGTCCTTGGTGCTGTTGGCCCTCTCCGGGCCTCCATTTGAGCCTATGGATGGCCTGGACCTTAAGATCCTGTCTCTTAAGGTGGTGCTACTCCTGGATTTGGTATGTGCAAAGTGAGTTAGTGACTTACAGGCTCTCTCTGTGCACCCATCCTGCACCTGTTTGCACCAGGTGACAGGAAGGTGTCCCTGAAGCCCAACCCTGCCTTTGTGCCTAAGGTAGTGGGCTCCTTTTCTCCTATTATCCTCACAGCTTTCTACCCACCGCCCATCTCCTCTCCTGAGGAGGAGCGGTTGCACAAGCTGTGTCCGATTCGCGCGCTCAAGGAGTATGTGAATCGGACGGAGAACCTTCGCAGGGGGGACCAGCTTTTTGTGTCATGGGGTGGGCCTCGTAAGGGGAAACCCGTCACAAAGCAGCGGCTTTCCCACTGGATTGTGGATGCTATTTCTATGGCGTACTCCTGTCAGGGCATTCAGGCACCTGTAGGGCTCAGGGCCCATTCTACTAGGGGCCTGTCTGCTTCTTGGGCCCTTTTTCGGGGGCTGTCAATCCAGGAGATTTGTGCTGCAGCAAGTTGGGCTTCTCCACTTGCATTTGCACGCTTCTATAAGCTTGATGTTTTGGTCCCTGCAATGACTCACACGATTCTGAGTGTGGGGTCTTTGGCGGGCCAAGACGTACCCCTGTAAGTTGGTGATCGCTGGATAAGCGATATGAGTCTCCATATCCCATAGTGAGACATCGAAACGAATGTTAAGAAAGAGAACTTTAGGTTACTATTGTAACCCCGGTACTCTGAGTAACATGAGTGAGATGTCTCACCAGACAACCCTTCTTGCTGGGCGAAGCGAGAAGAGGTGTTTATCTTGAATGGTGCGTGCGTTGGGAAGCTTGCTACTTATAGTAGCAGGGGATGCATACGTCACGGTCACTGGCCAATCAGGATTGGCGTATTGAGATAAGTGCTTCTGAGGAATCCGCGGAGGGGCGTATCCCATTGTGAGACATCTCACTCATGTTACTCAGAGAACCGGGTTTACGATGGTAACCTAAAGTTTTGATAAGAGCACAGAGCATGAGTGGTCATACCCCATATCTTGTAGATTAGGCTTGTGTCAGAAACTTGTGTTCCTGCTTGGGCACAGCAAAATAGAGCAGGCCTTTTAGGTCAAAGATGGACAATTCATCACGCTACAATAATACAAAGGAAAACAACCTGTGCTCCCCTCAACTAAAGCTCATACACACGCCTCCAGAAGTGAGTAAAACCCTCGACAAACCGCTACCGACAAACCGCTAAATGAAGCTAACTACCTTCCCAGAGACAGCAATGTCATCAATGATAACTACTAGCTTCACGGGAGGGTTTTCCTTCCCTCCCCTTCCCCCCTGAAGATGACTAATAGTAAAATAAAAACGAAAGAATAAATAGTAATAAAAGAACTGGAAAACAATAGCAGGCTAAGATCTGTGAACAAACACACATTGTTAATCCTATGTTAAAATGGGCACAAAAATGCTATAAATGTCCTAAACCAATACCTAATCGGCCTTCAGCTTGCCAACGTACATTCCTTGTTTCGTTCACCCTTCAGTCCTGCTCACGCTTCACAAAAAGGAAACGATTAAAAATACAACCTTTATTTAACTAAAATAAAGCAAGGTCAGGTCACTCACCACTTAGCTGCACCCACGTCTGCTCACAAAGCGAGGCATTCGGCTTTCTGCAGCTAGAGCCCAATCGCCCTAATTATAGCGGCCTCGTAATGACACACCGGCCTCTTCTACGTCAGCGGCACTGCACGTCCGACCAGAATTACTTCTGGGAACTAAGGTGACCCGGTTACATTAAGTACCCCTATCTGCTCTTGTGTCAAAGAAAATCCCAAGTCTAAATGGTCCAAAGTTGATGAAGCTGTTTCAAACAAGCCTTCTTTGCATCAGTAACATCCCACCCACCAATAGAGCGCTGTGATTGGACCGCTATGGATGTCAGTCAATGGGGCGGTCCGTCATTACATCGTGAAAGAACTACATGAAACATAAAATAATACATAATTCTTCTAAATAAGCATGCTGTGAGTTGGTTAGCAGCTCCTGCAAAGTTTCTCTTTATTACAGGAACAGAAATATTATCTATTGACACTTAAATAAAGTAACAAAAAAAAACTAAATTGTTTTCTTTTTTCCAAGTCAGTATTCAGCATTAATATGCCCTCTGTTGTCCTGCAAGAGTAGCTACCAACGCATATTCTAACATCTAATAGACTTGAATCCTGTTTTTAAAGGGAAGTATTCAAAGTATTTAGAATACAGTACCAGGTTTAAGCAAAGTAACGTAATACGTTACAAAATTTATTTTACAGCAGGTATTTAGTATTCTGTAACAAAATGCATTTACAAAGTATTCTCACCTAAACTAACTAGTGACCACAGCAAATGTATTGAAGAAAAAGTGAACTTGGTATTTAATAAAAGTTATTTTGAGTAAAACTAGTCATAAAACTGATTTGTGTTGGTGAGTCCATGTTGTCACGACTGTGGTGCAAAAGCACGAAAGTAAGCAGTCTCTGAGATCTTTACTCTTTGTCATCTTTATGGTTGCAGCACAGCTTTTTATAGCTTTTCATTGCTCATCCTGCTGCTTTTGATTTGGCTCATCAGCAGTCCTAACTAAGAGATGGATACAGAAAGATCAGTCTTTCCCATTTTCACAATATGTCCTCCAGGTGAGTCAAAGATCTCTGCAGCAGGTAGATGATGGCACCATCCACCAAGAAGAACTGGAGAACTATCGAATGCTTCACCTGGGATGATGGGGCAGAACCAGCTCATCTCCAAGGTCTTTGGTAGGCCTGCAGCTGATGAGGTCCTTCGGGGAACCCCAGCTTCAGGTTTATGATCTAACAAGCTCATGTGTTTGACTTTATTTGCTTTGATATTTATTTTAATTTATTTGTGTCCTTGCATTTATGATTAGATTCGACATTTCTTGTTAACTTGCGGAAAAACTTTAACCAACATGACAAACATGTTTTTCTGATAAAGAAAACAAATAGCGTGGCCATCTCCAGGTCACGTCCGTTTCATCATTGCGGGATACGTCAGCACGCTTTTTTACGGTGGGCTGCGTGACGTAATCACGCATCGTTTCCAAACAATGCTCAGGAAAAAGCCACGTTGACGATCCAGGGTGAAGAGTAGTCCCCAGTTTGAGGCCAAATAGCGCAGAAATCGGGTTTTCGGACGCGTCGGCTCCTCCTCGCAGCGGGTCCCGGATCACAGCGAGCATGTCGTCCCCCCCGAAGGAGAAAAATGAAACCAAAGGCGGACATCTCCCTGCAGGTAATTCCTCCATGACTGTTGTGTTTTTAATTCTTCACATAGATCCCAAGGCCTTTGTTTTTGTGCTGCCTCGAGGGGAGACTCGCATGATGAGTTTTTATTGAGCAATCCTTGAGTTGGCAGGAAAACAACCCAGATTGCGTCAGTTATTTTACGCACATTTCCCTACTTCCTGATTGGGATGAGATAATCACCGCACACCCTCGCGAGGCGTTTGGTAGGAAAGTGTTGACGCAGACTGGCGAGAAGCTGAGGAAAATGGTGCTTTCTGGCAGGACCTCGAGCCCAGTGAGATAAACAGCGCACCTCGCACCCGACCTATGGCCAGGTGTCACGTATTTATTTACAGATTAGGTCACGTGACGGACGGTGTGTGAAGCTTCGACGTGTGTCTTAAAAAACGAACCCTTGGGAGAAGAAGTTGAACGAGCTCAGCTACAAATCAGCTGTTCTGATGTTTGCGCTTTAGTGCTGTAGGCTAAACAGCCTGCTGAGGGATTCAAAGTCATTAAACTGTGTTTACACCGTTCCAACGGTATCCCCGTGGAAAATGTATAACTGCCCTACATGTAGATGGTTACTTGAACAACCTCAGTTTGGAGAAACAAAGATTAATGGCGGGTAAACAGACCAACCTAATAGCTTAAACAATTCTAAACTCAAATATTTCACAGTACTTTGTGTAGAGCTTACTTTATAAGATTCCCAGATAGCAAATTCTTTTTGGCCCTAGTTTGGCAAGCCAGACTTGGTACTCTTTTGGATGGAATGATGGGCCAAATATGGCCCAAATTAGGCACGCCTAAATAGAATTATGGATTGTCAAAAGGTTGCCAGAATAATTTTTGGCACTAGTTTGGCATGCCAGTTTGGTACTCTTTTGGGTGGAATGATGGGCCAAATATGGCCCAGATAAGGCACGCCAAAATAGAATTATGGATTGTCAAAAGGTTGCCAGAATTCTTCCAAAATAAATTGTGGAATTCCAAAGCACAACCATAACTATACAAAAAGAACCCCAAAATACCACAAAATGGCCAAAGGATATCAAAGTGTAACCATAAGTTTGCCGAAAGATTACCCAAAATAAAATGTGGCTTTCCAAAGCATAGCCATAACCATCCCAAAATCCCACAATAAAGCCAAATATGAACCATAACTTATCCATAATTAGCCATACATTTACCAAAAGATTGTATTTTATTCTGAACCTTATGCTAAATTTTATTTAACATTTTAATAGACCATAAAATGTCCTTGTACAGAAGATTCAGATTTTGTGCCTCAGTTAAATAGCCTTGTGAAATAGCCTAGGTTACTGTGTGTACGAGATACATAAACATAAAACCAAACGAGTAAAATTTAAAGATTTTATTTGATTTTTTTAAAAGTCAGTCCTGGACTGAGTCCTGGGCTATGTATGTAAATGTAATGTACATGTAAATTTACATTTCAATGGATTTCAAATGTTATTCTTTTTCTGAAGGAAAAATGACAAAATTCCACCCAGATGTGCTACGGTAGCTTAGTCTAGAAATCTAAATAAAGCGGTTGCAATAGCAGAAGATTTCGCTCTGCTGATCGGTCTAGCTATGCTCTAAAGGCGTGTTTACATTGTCAGAACTTCAGGGTATATTCTGGGACAGGGTATTTATGATAGTTGAGATGTCCCGGTCCTCTCAGCTATCGAGAGGGAATTCCGCGTTTAGTAATTTTTTAGCAGCTCGATCGCTTTTTATTTTTGTTTGCTTCCGTTCTGCGTCACAAGCAACCCTTTTAATGCCGGTTGTTTTGGACGGCATCTAGTGATGTCATGTCCTACTGTGTTACAACCAATAAGTTAACCAAAGGTTCCGCTCAGCTACTCCACCGGGCCATTCCGAGTCCTTACCCCTCTTCAGGTACTCCGAACATTCCTGGAAAAGGCCCAGGAACCTGCTGTTCGGCCAGCCCGGTGAAGTAGAGGCTTTGCATGCCGGGAAGTTCCTGTAAGTTTACCCTGAAGTTCCGACAGCGGAAACAGGCCTGTTGTGGCCTCAGCAGGTCTACCACCAGCCTGAATAATTTTAGATCCAATCACAGCACTCTGTGGAAAGATGTTGAGCAGGCTTGGTTTCAGAGCTGCAGAAAACTACAAAGATGGCCCAGGAACAGCGCTCGTTTGAAATGGCTTTGGCATTAACGCTGGATGATTTAGACTTTGAAAGTGATCAGATGGAGGTACTACTTCTTCGATGGTGTATGGTGGACTACCCTGTTGACTGATTTCCGCAGCGATTAATACACTATGTTATTTACTCCTTGTGCTGTCCTTTTGCACGTGGAGACGATTTGAAAGACAACCGTAGATTCCAACCCACGACTGAACTCTATGGCCAAACTACAGGCTTACATATATAGTATACTAATTCCTGTAACTTATAACCACCTGAATCTATGTAAATAATTGTGTATGGTCATTTATGGACGTGTAAATGTTTATAAAATGTTTTTTATATATACTGCTGTGAAATTTTGACGAGTCTTCAAATGCAATCTTGGTTTAAAATTTCTAGTTTTGATATTTGTGTTGAAAAACTGATCAGGGAGTCATCGTGTGTGTTTTTGTGTGTTTTCGTTAAGTAAAAGCAGGGGGCATGAGGATAGTGCAGAAACACCAATCACCTGCCATGCCTGAACCTCCGCAGAAAGAGGATGATGAAGAAGAGTACATCAGCAGCAGGTAACGCTCATGGACTGAATGCAGTTTTTCTGGCTTCGTTATTATATATATATATTTTCAATGTAACATCTAGTTTGTGGTTAAACTTAAGTCACTGTAACTATAAGGTAGCGATAACGTGGTGCTGTGATGTTTCCGTGTAAACTCCATATAATTATACACTCAGAGATGATGATAGAGGACAGCACATTCATGGGTGCTGCAGCTTTGCTGCAGACTGAACAAAGACAAAGCTGAAGCATGTGCCTGGAGTTGGATGACCTTTTATGAAGGCAGCAGTCACAGTTTCTCAGAAAGTCATCTGGTGTGTTGAATGGCCCAAATGTTATTTAAACAGCCTTTAAGGTCTCCAAATCTAGTGATGCTAAGTTAGCAGAAGTAGGGATGGGTACCTTTGACATTTGAATCGATTCGGTACTAATTCCCAGTACCTAGGAATCGATACTGGTACTTAACGGTGCCAATTTTAGATACTTTTGAGTGTTTCAATTCAATTCAAGTTTATTTATATAGCGCCAAATCACGACAAGAGTCGTCTCAAGGCACTTCACATAATAAAAATTCCAATTCAGATCAGTTCATTAAGCCAATCAGAAATAGTGTTTCCTATATAAGGAACCCAGCAAATTGCATCAAGTCACTGACTAGTGTCAGTGACTATACAGCAATCCTCATACCAAGCAAGCATAAAGCGACAGTGGAGAGGAAAACTCCCTTTTAACAGGAAGAAACCTCCAGAGAATCCTGGCTCAGTATAAGCAGCCATCCTCCACGACTCACTGGGGATCGAGAAGACAGAGCAGCACACACACACACACGGACAAGTAATGTGTCTATAGTTATATTGTGATGTCGTAGTAAATATTCTATTTGGTGAAAGATAAACTTTATTGTATTTATCCTAGTGGATCTATAATTAAACGGATAAACTGGTATTAGCACATCAAAAGTCAAGGAAACCAAAAAGTTATTATCAGGAGAGGGAGAATGTTTTAAGTGGTTAGCAGCAGTGTGCTAGAAGATGGCCCCCTCCATGAGGCCACCACAGCTCAGCAGAACGTCATTGTAGCTTCTTCTGGGGAGAAAAACACTTACAGAGAAAATAAAGTTAACAGCTGAAATTGCACAAAATAGTACAGTTAAAGAGCAGATTGTAGAAGAAAGTAGTAGAGTGTGGAAAGTGGTCAGTGTATCCTCCAGCAGTCTAAGCCTATAGCAGCATAACTACAGAGATAACTCTGGATAATCTATCCTATTTAGATGGAGGCATGTTGGAGGCAGGGCAAGGAAGAGCCGTCTTTATCGACTGTACACTCCACCTCCCTCTACTCCCCCACTTGTCCAGATTTAGTCTAACATCAGATTTTAACCATAGGCCCTATCAAATAAAAATGTTTTAAGCCTAGTCTTAAAAGTATACAAAGTGTCTGCCTCACGGACTAAGGCTGGGAGCTGGTTCCACAGGAGAGTAGCTTGTGGATATTTTAATTCTCTTTTATAATTAAATATATGTTTTTCTCAATATATAACCATATTTGATAAATATCACGATAAATAACATTCAACTGTTTGCATTTTAACATCGTCCTTGTAGTTTTATAAGCTGATAATTAAACTGAAGCAAACATCTTTACTGTGAACTAAATTTACTGTGTATCTTCATTCCTTTTGCCGTCCTTTTTCATTTGATTTTTCCTACTGGGAAGTTAGAATTTCCGAGGAGAAAGCAAACGCACCATTAGCTGATGACAATGGTGGCAATGGAAGCTAACATATCAAGCTAACGTTATCTTAAACAGTTTATTTAGCTGCTGGAGCAGATTAAAACGATGATGCCTCACACTTAGATCGTTGTCGCTGGTTTCATCTTCACCCAATCACCCGTTGCATTTAGTAAAGTGAAGCCAAACTTTAGAGCGTGTTCGTGTTCTAGTCGGAAATTCGGAGTTCCGAGGAGAAAGCGAACGCACCATTAGCGGAACGGGAGCTAACATATCACGCTAACGTTATCTTAAACATTTTATTTAAGCCGGGCATACACTGCGCGACTTTTTCACTTTTTTGAGCCGATTTTCCACTCGTGCGAGAATCCACGAGATCGGGGCGAGTTTTGCGTCGTGTAGTGTACAGGGGGTTACGAGAGGCGATTAACACCACGTGACCAGCTACCGATCAGCAATCGTGAGCTCGCACGGACTTCTGGCGTGTTTAATATTTTGCTCGTCCCTCGTGAGGGTATCGCACTGTTGAAGCGGCGCTGCGAGCAGCTGCGACCCAAAATGTATCAGAACCGCTCACGGCGCATGCGCAATCCTGCATCAACACCGCTCGCCGGCTATTTCCCTAATAACACACATTGTTCGTTTTAATTTCTACAGGTTTTTTTACTCACAAAGATTGTCAAGAGAGCGTGTTTGTCGTGTTCATGTCAAATTAAACTGATCACAAAACACAGATTTACTTTCTTTATTTCGTTTTCCTCATCCAACCCCCATAAATCCCTGTGTGTCCTCCTGCAGCACTCCTGAAGGACAACCGGCAAAACAAGACAAATAAGTCTGACGTGTTGTGTAAAAACTGCAATTTTTAGCATATTTTTAGGGCCGACGTGTTGCTACCAGACGTACAGTGTGAGCAGTCAGGTCGCATCCGAGAACTGGGTCGTACAGTGTGAGCACCTGACTCGTGAGATCTGCCCTGCGAGGAAGTCGTACAGTTTGAGCTGAAGCTGAGTGCTACGAGTGAAAAAGTCGCACAGTGTACGCCCAGCTTCACTTGGATCGTTGTTGCTGGTTTAATCATCACCCAGTTACCCATCACATTTAGTGAAGTGGACCCAAGCTTTAGCGTGCGTTCTTTCTACCATGTTGCTCTGTTTACAAATCGCTCGCAGCGACCGACGACATAAAGTTCTTGCGCATGCGCAGCTGTCTAGGCAAGTTCTCATTATGAAGGACTGGTACCGAAACGAGGCACCGTTTCAAATGACGTGAATCGGTGCTCAGTCGGTACTATGGAATTCGGTCGGTACCTTAAAAAGTACCGAATTCGGTACCCAACGCTAAGCAGAAGAGAGGTGGAGCCATCGTGGCCAATAACATGAGAAGTCAAATGAGAAGTTTTACTTGTTAAAGTATCACTGAGCAGTTTCCTGCTTCTCCACCCTACTGGTTGAAAGTCGAATTACAACTTTTGTGAACAACCCTGCTGCATGCAGCCCGTTGTAGCTAGGGCTAACAACAAGCTAACACTAACATGAGCCAACTAAAGCCTGAGTCATGCTTCTCCGCCTGCGTCAGTGCGGAGACACGCAACGCCATTATCTGTCCTTGCGTAGGACCCTGGCAGGCACACAAGTACGTATGGAGTCGAGCCCACTTTTGTAAACATCCGTCCGTCGAGACGGAGAATGCAAGCTTGTGATTGGTCAGGATGCCGCTGTTGTCTACACTACCACCATTGCGCCCTCAAAAACATAAAGAGAGCCAAGGATAACTAGCGGCAGACACAGAGAAGCTTGAAGAATACCTCGCGAAAAAACTCTAAAATATGAACATTTAATTCTCCCGTGACTGGAGGAGTGAAAAGATACGCAGCAGGCATTTTATTCGTGGACGGAAATGACAGGAAATGTGGGTTTTGAGGTGGCGAGCGCTTGAAGAGGTGGAGGAGAATGAGAGACAAATTTGTCTGTGTTAAAAAGTCTCTTGTATACAACAAACACAATATAAACACACTATCTTGGACATGACAGGATACCACAGAACAGCGCTACGCCCTCTGTTGTCCTGTTGGGGAATTGCTTTGCAACACTCCCCAGGAGACGGAGAAGTATGAGAGCAAAACGCTTCCGTCAATCCGTGCGTGTCTGTCCCTTGCGGAGCTGACGGAGAAATATGAATCAGGCTTAATATTAAAAGAAACCATAAAGTAAAAAGATCCACACTGTTGGACAAAAATAGTATTACCTACAGTTCCAGTGGCAACAAAGCCAGGTCACTATCAGTCCGTGATCTTGTAGCCTCCTTTAGCTCCCTTGAACTAGTGTAGGCCGTGCCTATGTTCACTCTGGTTTTAGCTCTTTGCTTCACCTCCAAAGACGTTACTCTTTTATTTCCTGATGCAAACTTCTTTTTCATCTTCTTGTGCTTTTCATTGACAAACTGAAAATGCTAACTGCTAGCATTACAGCTAACAGCTCTAAAGCATGTAAAGAGTGCCCCCTAGGACACCTACCCGCTCCACAAAACTATCAAGTGCAGTTTTTGGTCAGCAGAGGGCTGCAGAGTGGTGTCATATGAAACTGGTCAAGTTTCAAACCCAACAATCACTGAGAATAATGTTAAAGCTCTAGTTTAAAATAAAAAAAATATGTTACTTTAAACGTTAAGAGGGGAATAGCAACAAAATGCAGGATGATTAGATTGATTCACAGAAGTAGTGGAAATGCAGAGCGACAGAAGATTTCATAGCACATCACAACTAAATGCAAGTCATCCACAAAGACATAGCGTGCATCTTTTAGACAATAGTTGTGGTTAAACTGTCGGTGGGGCTGAGCACCCTGCTGGTGTTTATAAGACCGACGTAAATTATGAATCCGTTCAATGCACAAATGTGCAGGTTTGTAAGATGCTAATCAAACATGCAGCTTGCTAATTGCAACTGTGTAATTTAGCCTCTTTTGCTTTTCTATAATCCTGTGCCGTACACATTTATTTATTTATTTTTTTGCTGTAGATGTTTTGTTTACTGTTGCCAGCTAATTCAGTAAACATGATTACTGCATAATTACTGCATTAGCCTGAACAGCACATTCAACAAGCACCATTGTTTGCTGTAAACAGCCTGGGTTTGCAAGTTTTACATCACACGGATGCCAATTTCAGGCTACGATTCTTGTTTCGCTTCCACTTTAGCACGGTTCCTTGCATGCAACCATTTGTACCGTTTGTGGCATCGTGCAATGGGAATGAAGTGCATGTAGCTTCTGATGTTTG